GCCCTGGGGGCCCAAACTGAGCTTGTCTGGGCCTGCCTTCCTTAGCTGATGACTCTATCCCCCAACTTTACCCCCAGGACCTCACTTCTCCTCCATTCTTCATATGCCATGCCTGGCCAGGTCATCAGGACTGTCTCAGACCCATGCACCAGTGTCCAGGGGACCCCTGCTGGGTTCCCTGTGGTCACCCTTTGCCACAGTCTCACTCCACAGGTAGAAGCACTTTCTGTTTAAATTTTCCTGTACATTCTATCTCTGTCCCTGCTGGGATGAGCTAGGGACCTGTAACAAGGTCTCTAAACCTCATGTGGCTTGCTCCCACACCCCTCAGCAGCCTCCTCCATGGCCCCTCTTCCTCCTGCTCCCCCATCTAGCCAGAGTGGTCTTCCTCTGTGAGGCCAGGCTTCTCCCCACACTCAGAGCCCTCTCGCCACTGCCCAGAGCTGCTCACTGGCCCCTTTGCCTTGTGTACCCTTCTCACCCTGTCCTCCCTTGGCCCCTCCCTCTGGACCAAGCAGGTGAAGGGAGGCATGGAGGAGCAAAAGGTGAAGAGAGGGGAAAATCCCAGGTGTCCTGTCTCCTATGAACAGTGGACAGGGTGGGTGAGGGCCTGTCCTACCTCAGCCCACCACCTCCCTTCCCTGTAAGGTATCTAGCCAGACCACAGATAACACCAACCACAATGCTCCTTCACCCCACCTCAGCTGTGCAGGGCAGTAATGAAGGGCATTGGCTGTAGCATGGGAACATCTGGATTCAAATCCTAGCCATGCCATTTAATGGCTGTGATGCATCAGGAAAGCTGCTTAACCTCTCTGAGTTTCCTGTTCCTCTTCTGCAAGATGGGGGGAGATGAATTTAAAGTAAAAAAAAAGTAATTTTAAAGTAAAATTTCCATGATACGTAGTGTTTCTCCTTTATAGTAGTTAGGAAAATTGTGACTCAGTTTGTTTAAAATTCACTTCCCCAGTCAAGATGAAAGTTCCACTAGGTTAAGGACAGGGTGGGTTCTATTTACTACCACATTCATGGAGCCCACACCAAGGCCCTGACTTGGTATAACAAAGTGGCTGAAAGGGAGGCTTTAAAGTCAGAAAGGCAGGCTGGGATTCTAACACTCTGTAACCACCAAAGTGATTTTGGTCAAGTTATTAACTTTCTTGGTCTTGTGTTGTCTCCTCTTTGATAATAATATCTACATCAAAGTCCGCTTGGATTAAACACTTGAACACATTTAAAGTCCTTATATAAGACCAGGAACATAGTACATGCTCAGTAAACACTAGCTATTATTCTCATAAACCGTAAATACTTGAATGAGACTTCTTGATTTTAGTCTGATATGTAAAAAGCTTGGAAGTCATCACTCCCATAGAATAAAAAGCTGAAGAAACTAGATGTTTATGACTCCTCTTGTATCTGTTAGAGAACTGAACTTATAAGGCAAACCACTGTCCTTAAAATTGGAGACATAGAGGGTAGATACAGAGAACCGCCACTTCCCAGAGCAGAAGAGCAGGTATATAAACTTCCAGAGGGACCAGTGCTGATCAGGAAAACCTGAATTATAACTCACAAATTACTGGAAACTAAATGTGGACAAACTTGATGGTTTTAAATTCAAGAGGGTCTAGTCATGGGGGGGCGGGTCCCACACTTTCAGGAATTTTAATGCTAGGAGCTCTGCTAGGTTTTCACAGTGAAAACTGAAGAAAAATCTTTTCTACTGCTTCCTAAGGAAGAAGTGGAAAGTAGCCATTTTTAGATAGGTCCAGAGCATTCTTGTTCTCCTTAACAAAGCCTGCCTTCAAGATTTCTCCAGAGCCAAAGCAGCCTGGGAGGAGAGACATATCCAGCTGCAGCCCCTGTCCACTAGCCTTCCTATCTTTCTTCTTCTTGTCTTTTCTAAAGTCAGGGTGAAGGCTGAGAAGCTGAGATCACAGCCCAAGGGCACAGGTTCACTAAGTACTGAGACCTAATCTTCCAACTATAGAACATGTCTCCTCCCCACCACCTATATAATAACAGGGGATTGCAGCTGAAATAACTGTATATCTCATGCTCTGTTTAAGAAGGAATCCCTAGGGAAACCTGAAGACAACAGGGAAGACAAAAACAAGAACATCAGAGCAAATCTTATCTCTGACACAGCTACAGCAAATAGTGAAAACAGTCTAACTCCTAGCCTCACACTAAAAGCGTATTTACCTTTATCTGTACATCATTTCTGGCTTTCCATACAAAATCACAAGGCTTGTTGGAAGGCAAAAAATACAGTTTGAAGAGAAAAGGCAAGCATGAGAACCACACTCAAATATGGCTGGGAATTTAAAATAATTATAATAAATATGCTAAGGGCTGCAATGGAGAAAGTGGAAAACATACAAAAACAGGTAATGTAACCAGAGAGGTGGAAACTCTAAGAAAAAATATAAAGAAAATGCCAAATATATTTTTTAAATACTATACAAAAAAGAATGTCCTTAAAGGGCCCTCAGTAGATTAGACAAGGCTGAGGAAAGACTCAAGGAGCTTCAGGAAATGTCATAAAGTACTCAAACTCAAAAGCAAAGAGGAAGAAAAAAAAAAAAAGAAGAAGGAAAAAATGAGACAGGTTTTCCAAAACCTGTGGGACAGTTACAAAAGGTATAAGGGGAATACCAGACAGAGAATAAGAAGAGAAAGGAACATAAAAGGATTTGAAGTAATAATAGCTGAGTATTTCCTAAATTAATGATAGGCATCAAACAGACCTAGGAATCTCAGAGAACAGCAAGCAGGATAAATGAGGGTTAAAAAAAAAAAAATCTAAACCTAATCTTATCACATTCAAACTGCAGAAAATCAAAGACAAAGAAAATATCTTGAAAGAACCCAGAGTAAGGAAAAAACATGTTACCTATAGAGGACCAAGTATCCTCAGATAATAATAATTACATCCAGTTTCTCCTCAGATAGCATGCAAGCAAGATGAAAATGCAGTGAAATATTTGACAATTCAAAGGAAAAAGCATGCCAACCTAGAATCTATATCCTGAAAAATTATCCTCCTAAAGTAAAGAAAAAATATGACTTCCTCGGAGAATCAAAAATTGAGGAAATGAGGGAAATTTTCACTAGTCTATTTGCTTTGCAAAAAAAAATGTTAAAAGACCTTCTTCAAAATGAAGAGGTTATAGGTCAGAAAACCAGAGCAAAAGAAAAGGGCGGAGCCTGTGGTTCAAGGAGTAGGGCGTTGGCCCCATATACTGCAGGTGGTGGGTTCAAATCCAGCCCCTGCAAAAAAAAAAAAAAAAAAACAGAGCAAAAGAAAAGAGTGTTAAGGAAGGAATAAGTGAAGATAAAATAAATACTTGAAACCAGCCACACTTCCCTCAGGCAGCCCACCCTGCCCTGGCCTGTGCCAGCACCACTCTTGATGTTCTGGAAGCACCTGCAGGGGCTTGGTCGTACTAGAACAGCTTGCTGTCTCCCCCGCAGGACTATAAGCCGTGCTCCCCAGATCCAGGTGTGCTAAGCACCCAGCATCCGTGAATGAATAAACGGAGGCTGGCCCAGCAAAGCACCCGCACCTCCCAGGAGAGCTGTTAAATAGCACATCTCTTTATTAGCAGTTCAGCAAGAAGATTACAGTGTTGCCTCTGTCAAGGGCTCACCCGCTGGACTGTCTCTGCCCAGGTCTGGTCATTCTTCAGGTCAAGCAGGAGATGGACATTCTGCTGACACAGGCTGCTCCTTGGCCCTGAAGGACTTCAACCTGGGAGGCAGAGAAGTGCCCAGGGGACACATCATGGAGCTGTGGTTGGCCAAAGGGCAGAGCTGATGATCACCCCCTCTAACCCTGCTGTTCTGCAAATGCACAGCTTTCTGTCTAGAGAAAAGAAAATCCCGTGGAACAAAAAGGCAGTGGAGCACCAGGCAGCCGGGACTCAGCCTGGGACTGCTTCTTCTAGCTCAGAAGCCCCTGGGAACTACTTGCCCTTCCAGAAACTCTGATTTCTCCGGAGAATCTCTAGTAATAGTAGCACACAGCTGATGTGGCATTTCCAGGAGCTAGACATCATCACCCCCAAAACAACCTTCCAACATAGATGTGCCCTTATAGGGGAGGAAAAGGAGGCACAGAGCCATTAAGGAACCTGCCCAGTGTGGAAGAAGATTGGAACTCAGGGTCTGCTCATGAACTTGGCTCAATCTCTGCCTTCTGTATAATGGGCTCGAATGATGCCTTCCTCATAGGATTATGATTGGTTCAAATGAGAAACCTTGGCAAAATACCTTATATAGAAGCCAGCATACAGTAAGTGCTCAATAAATGCCAGCATTACATCTGTGTGGCCTTCCTGTAAACACGCTGAGGACACTGTATCTAAATCACATCTTTGGCTTCCCATCTGGACTGTGCAGCCTTTTATGCTGTCAGGGAGCAGTGGCTATTTACAGGTTGGCAAATGGAGCGGCTTTGCCCTGCCATGGGCCTTCTGCCTCCTCGGACCACAAACAGTGACCATGTGACCACTGGGCCCAGCCCAAGCAAAGAGGCCATGGGATCCATAGTCACTTCCCCGGCCATTACAAACCCAAAACCTATGTGGCATCACTTCTGCCTCTCATCTTGCGACTCCAGGTGAGGTTTATAGACCAGCAACAAAGCCCGGGAACTGTTGACCCCACCACAGCCTGCTCTGCACGAGACACTGGGCCCAAGAACAAGGGAGACGCAATGGTCTCTGACGCAGCAGTGACAAGAGTTGGAGAGGCCAGTCTGAAGCCTGCTTTCAAGTCCTTCTAAAAGCTAGAGAGGCATTGCAGGAGCCCAAGAAGCTGCCCTCTCCTCTCACCCCATTGCACCCAAGGGCAGGCCCGTCACAGACAGGGGAAGGTGAAGCCTGTGAGCAAGTTCCCCAGCGGAGCGCCTCCCACTCCCGGAGCTGGCCGTCTGCTCCGCCTGGGTCCTCACCTGTGCGCTCTCTCACCTGTTGTTTTTGCACCTGTTGCTCTTAGCAGTCTGAAAGTGTCATGCTGATGTCCCGACCTGGTTCATTTGCAATGTGGGATATGCTATAAGGGACAAGAAGCAGAGCCAGGAGGAGGGGGCTGCCTGGTGGCAGAGCCCACCCAGACCACACATCCTGACTGCAGTACAGGCCAGGAGCCAGCGGAGCCCCAGGAACAGGCCCTCAGCCCAGAGCCCTTCTGTGCTCTGTGCGCAGCAGGCACGTGGAGGCTGACACAGACCTGCCAGGAGGAGCCCAGGAGAGGGGCCAGCAGCCCCAGGAACTGTTAGTCCCTGCTCCTGAGGTTGGCGTACCCCCAGCCCACCTGCCACCAGCAAGGGAGACACTGCCTCATCTCCAACACTTACCTGCGTCTCACCTGCTCTATCCGGTCTCGCATCATGTTTTCCGTCACCTCGCTCGGCACTTGGAAGATACGGGTGTGGCTGCAAAACACCATTCAAACCTTCCTTACTGGGCATCGTGAAAGGGCCCGAGCTGGGGTCACATCAACAACAGCTCTTGCCCTGTCCCAATGAACTTCTAAGTTGGACCCTCTCCTTCCCGGAGTCGTGAGTAGGCTGAGTGGTCAGTAATGCTGAGCAGGCAGCAAAGGGCCCTGCGGGGAGCTGGGGACACCGAGGTGAAGCTCCATCACTAAAGTTAGCACATCACTGGTCTCCAAAGACGTGGCATTCTCCCCTTCTGAATTCCTCCCCAACTTCACTACTACTCTCTGTGATCTGCCTCCTGCCACATTCACTATGGTTCAGAGATATTTCTAGAACCTTCTGTCACAGAGAAGCTACAGGAGGCTTCTGTCTGTTCTGGTTCACACTGGCTTTGCCTCCCTCCCTCTGGTCACCTTCCTGTCCTTTTCCACCCCTCCTCCCTCTGTCCACTGACATCCCAGCTCTGTGTCTGCTGGAACTGCCCTCTGTGGATCGTGCCCCATTCTCAGTGCTCTGCCTTCAATAGTGACAACGGCGCTGACACTGCCACCAGGGAACCACGGCCCATTGAGGTGAGCTGTGCTCACGTAGGCAAAGAGGAACCTGAGAGGTGAAATAAAAATAAGGTGGCCTGAGAGGGAGACATAGAATGCAGGGGCTCCAGCAAAGGCAGAGGTTGCCGTGGCCTGGGAGGGACCAGGGGGCCTCGGAGAAGGGGCCCAGCACTGGGCCCCAGAGGCCACATGGGATCCGCTCTCTGAAGTCGCCTCTCCCTACCCTGGCTCCTGTTTGTCCAATTCCTGTTCCATTCAAGAGCCAGTCCAAGCAAACGGCCCTGCTAAAAACCTTTCACGTACCCAGGCAGTGAGGCCAGGCACCTCTGTGACCTGGGTCCCCCACACTGTGTTCCAGAGCTACTCCTCATAGCTTCTTAACATTCTCTTCACCCTTCGCACACCTGGCTCACCTCAGTAACGTTTAACCCTTTGAAATGGGGGTCTATGTCATATTTTCTCTTTCTTCTGGATGGCTTAGCGAATGCCGGCTAGCCAGCACACAGCCATCAAACAAATGAAACTTCAGTGGCACTCAGAAAGGGTATATATTTCCTGATTCTACCCTTAAAAATACTAAGAGGTGATGCCAGAGCTAGTGGATTATGGAGAAAACAGACAGAGCCTGGGAGTTAAAATAAATCTCCATAAACAGGCTCAGCACCTGTAGCTCAGTGGTTAGGGCACCAGCTATATGCACCAGGCTGGTGGGTTTGAACCCAACCCAGGCCTACTAAACAACAATGACAACAAGAAAAAAATAGCTGGGCATTGTGGTCAGTGCCTGTAGTCCCAGCTACTTGGGATGCTGAGGCAAGATAATCACTTAAGCCTAAGAGTTTGAGGTTGCTGTGAGCAGTGACGCCACAGTACTCTACCAAGGGCAACATAATAAGACTGTGTCTCAAAAAAAAAAGGAAAAGAAAAAACACTCCATAAGCAATCCAGAGTGAAAAAATCAAATGTAGGTAATTGACTAATAACTGTAGCCTGCCTCAAAAGCTTAAACCCAGTTATTCTGTACAGCTGGATTTTTAATATATTGGAAGATGGTATGTGCATTGTATTCTAAAGGATGCAGCTTTAGAACTCCACAGTGCAGGCTCCGTGCCTGTGGCTCAAGCGGCTAAGGCGCCAGCCACATACACCTAAGGTGGCAGGTTCGAATCCCAGCCCAGGCCCGCCAAACAACAATAATGGCTGCAACCAAAAAATGGCCAGGCGTTGTGGCGGGCGCCTGTAGTCCCAGCTACTTGGGAGGCTGAGGCAGGAGACTCGCTTGAGCCCAGGAGTTG